ATCGACAATCCCAAGCTCTTCTGGGTGCCTTGGCTTGGCCTCCGAACCATGTGCATGCCTGAGCTTTGCACATTCATCAGCATTTTGCAGGCCTCAGCAAATTCTCCTTCGGTTCGCGACTTGACGGAAGCAAACAAACTCCTTCGTTTTGCAACGGAAGCTGCCAAGAGCCACACTTGGCGGCTGCAAGAGGTGTCACAGCTGCGCATTGGGGCGTACACTGACGCCGGTTGTGCTGTGAGGCCTGATGGAAGCAGCCAAGGCGGCATGATCCTTTGCGTATGCAGTGAGAAGGAGATTGATGAAGGCAAGATGATGGCTCTGACGACCCTCCAGTGGCATAGCAAGAAGCTCACTAGGATCTGCCGATCCTCACTCTCGGCAGAGACTCAAGCGGCTGCGATGGCCGTGGATGAACTGGAGTGGTGCAAGATCTTTTTGGCCATCTTTGCCGGTTGCTCGTTGGACATCAATAGTTCGGAAGCCTTGTTGAAATTCGGAAGCTCTCCTTTGGCAACTGACGCCAAGAGCTTGTTTGATGCTGCTCAAACAAAGGCCGCTGGTCTTCGCCTCAGTGAGAAGCGAACAGGAGCGCATGACCGCGCTCAGTGGACGATGGTTTTGGGTCAACTCTCACCAGCAGTTGGCCGATGGGCTCACCAAGCCTTCCCCGACAGATTCCTTTTTCCTCAAACTGTTTTTTACTGTTAGGGGTTCTCAATGCTTTAAAGAATGGTCGCCTTGGTGCTGGGATGGTCTGGTCGGGTTCCCGGCCGGCTTGTCTCCCACTTCCTTTCATTTGTCTTTCAGGCTGGGTGCTTGTTCCTGGCTTGTCTCCCACTTCCTTTCATTTGTTTCCCACTTCCTTTCATTTGTCTCCCACTTCCTTTCATTTGTTTCCCACTTCTTTTCATTTGTCTCCCAGTTCTTTTCATTTGTCTCCCAGGCTGGGTGCTTGTGGTCGGGTTCCCGGCTGGCTTGTCTCCCACTTCCTTTCATTTGTCTCCCACTTCTTTTCGCTTGTCTACCAGTCCTTTTCATTTGTCTTTCGGGCTGGGCGCTTGTGGTCGGGTTATTCATGTGTCTCCCAGGTCTGTCACTGCTAGTCCGCCCTTTTCCGCTGGCCATGTAGCATTTCTATTCATTTGTCCCAGGTCTGTCACTGCTGGTGTCCGCCCTTTCCGCTGGCCTTTGTCTCCCAGGTCTGTCCTGCTGGTGCCATGTTTCCGCCGGACGCGCTGATCCAGGAAGCGGCCAGTGCGGCATGGCGCCTCTTCCTCGTCAGGGACGACCGAGTTGGACCCGGGGGCGGAGCGGTGACCGTTTCGTGGCCGTGTGGACTCCGAATTGACCAACCACACATATAGATCATATATACCCCAAACAACCAAAAACAAGTCCCTTTACATAGGAAATATGCGCCCCTCATAGTTACTTGCTCCTAGTAGTACAGGAGCCCCTTATAGCTACTTGCTCCTAGTAGTACGGCTAGGAGCCCCTAGTAGCTAGTTGCTCCTAGTAGTACGGCCAAAAGGTCCTAGTAGCTACTTGCTGCTGGTAGTACGGCCAGGAGCCCCTAGTGTACGGCCAGGAGCCCCCAATAGCCAGGAGCCCTAGTAGCTACTTGCTCCTAGCTTGTAGCTACTTGCTCCTAGTAGTACGGCCTAGTAGCTACTTGCTCCTAGTAGTACGGAGGAGCCCCTAGTAGATACTTGCTCCTAGTAGTACCGCCAGGAGCCCCTAGTAGCTACTTGCACCTAGTAGTACGGCCAGGAGCCCCTACTAGCTACTGGAGCCCCTAGTAGCTACTTGCTCCTAGTAGTGCGGCCAGGAGCCCCTAATAGCTACTTGCTCCTAGTAGTACGGCCGGGAGCCCCTAATAGCTACTTGCTCCTAGTAGTACGGCCACGAGCCCCTAGCAGCTACTTGCTCCTAGTGTCCACCCTTTTCCGCTGGCCATGTAGCATTTCTGTTCATGTGTCACTGTGGTGTCCGCCCTTTTCCGTTGGCCATGTAGCTTTTCTATGCACGTGTCTCCCACCTCTGTCATTGCTGGTGTTCGCTGGCACTGGTGGTGTCCGCCCTTTTCCGCTGGCCATGTAGCGTTTCTATTCATTTGTTTCCCAGGTCTGTCGCTGCTAGGGTCCGCCTTTTTTTCTGTTGGCCATGTAGCATGTCTATTCAGTTGTCTCCCAGGTCTGTCACTGCTGGTGTGAGCCCTTTTCTGCTGGATGCAACATTTCTGTTCATTTGTCTCGCAGGTTTGTCACTGGTGCTGTCCGCCGCTGGCCATGTAGCATTTCTATTCATTTGTTTCCCATTTGTGTTGTCTTCCTTCTTTCCTTTACATCTGCCTCCTCTCTCCCCCGCTCCCTTGCAATCCTTCACATGTGTCTCCCAGCTGCTCTGCCCTGCAATCATTTACATTTGTCCGCCTCTGCCTTGCAATCCTATATGTGTCTCCCGGCTCTGACATTTGTCTCCCAGCTCTGGGCTGCTGTGGCCGCCTCTGCCTTGCAATCCTTTGTCTCCCAGCTCTGGACGTCGCAGGCTCTAGTTGCAGAGTGTTCCGATTTCGAAAAACACAAACTGTTTGGGGTCTACGGTGGTGTAATTGTAAAATTTGGTCAGAGGCACGCGTGAGTTGTTCTACAATTGAGCTTCGTTGCCTTGAAAAAGGTTTCCTCTGAGGACAAAGAGAAGGAGCGCATTCTCCATGAGCAGTTCTCCCATGAACTCAAGGAAAGCCAGGTGTTTTTGACCGAGGCTGAAGCCGAAGAGGAAAAGATCTCAAAGCGCATTGGTCTTTTGCCATCATGCAGCAAACCTGTCAACCAGAGCGACAACAAGAACCGCTATTGCTGCAGACGTCAGTTTTACGCCCAGAGACCTGGCGAAAAGTTGCATTAGCATCAGCGGCTGCTTTGATGGTTGAAGAGTTGCCGAAAGCTGAAGCAGCCACTGAGGAGAACATGACTGTTGTTTTTGACTGGAAGCTGGTCACCACCATGTTGGTCATGTTTCTTTTTGTGCCTGCTATGGCATTGAGGTGATCCTCTACAAGGTCTGCTTGTCTGTGAGCTCGCAGGTCACGAAGGTGTGGACCAACGTCGCGAGATTGAATGAATTGGTCGCTGAGGAAAATGAAACCCCCCAGAATGCCTTGACTGTTGAGAATGTCAACGCCTGGAGCCATGGCGAAGCCGCGTCATCGAGCCCTACGCTGGATGGAGATGGGCCGATCATGAACGCTCTGGCGTTGGCTCGTCGCCCCGGCATTGACACTGCCAGCTCGACCGTGAACGCTGAGGATGACCTTCCTGATGCAGAACGGCAGAGATGGAGCGCGCTGAAGATGCGCGCGCAGCAAGAAGCCGGACAGGCTCCTTGGAGGCGCTTGCTGGCCGAGCTTGAGGACACCGACAGCTCCTTAGATGCGCAAACGCGCATGATCTTGACTTCGGAATCCTTCACGACGTAACGTTGGAGGAAGTTCAGTGAGCTGATGAGGTCGCAAGAGACCCATGTGTTTTCCGACCAACAGGTCATGCAATGGCACCGGCTATGGAACGACAACTTGGTGTTCCTCGCGGATGTGAACCGCAAGATTGTAGCTCAGAAGCGCCGCATTGAGGAGCTCAAAGGCATGGATCGCCACCGCGAGCGTGTGAGAACAGGAGAAGTGAAGGATCGTGTCACTCAGACACAAGTGACATGGAAAGCTGAAACCAACCGCTTTGTGAAAGCGCCGCGTGAAGCCGTCAGTGAATTTTCGTCGACTTGAGAATTCGAATTTTGAATGTTTTCTGACATGGACCCATTGAAAAGTTTGGGCCGTGTCAAAGTGCGTATGCAATTTGCTTTTGTCACATGTCATTTCGATGAGCGGTGATCGGCCGCTGCTTTTCCATGTTCAATGTGGGCCATTACCCCTAGGGCCCTTGAGTCACCTGTGCCTACGACATCATGCCTTGCAGAAAAGGCATTCGTTTTGCGCTTCATCATTGAGCAGTCGAACTTCGTGGGTCGCTACTGCAATTGACAAATATCTATAAAGGTAGGCGGTATGTGCCATTAGTGTGTGTGCGTCGGCTACAGCAGGGGGCCAAGATTCCATCTAAGGCCACTGCAATATAGTTAGATGAAGCGTAAATTAATGTCTATAAAGGTAGGCGGTATGTGCCATTAGTGTGTGCGTCGGCTACTGGGGGCCAACTAAGGCCACTGCAATATAGTTAGATGAAGCGTAAATTAACATCTATTAAGGTAGGCGGTATGTGCCATTAGTGTGTGCGTCGGCTACTGGGGTCCAAGATTCCATCTAAGGCCACTGCAATATAATTAGATGAAGCGTAAATTAACAATCATTAAGGTAGCGGTATGTGCCATTAGTGTGTGCGTCGGCTACTGGGCCCCAAGATTTTATCTCAACCCAAGATTTTATAGTTTGGTTCGATATACCTAAATTAAGAAAGTCGCTGCCAAAAAGTCCTTGGAGTCCGATCGGTCAGTCCTGCCGGGTCTGCGTCCGTTTTGTAAATAGACGCAGAGACACAGAGCTGACAGGGGCCTTTAGAAAAAACAGTAATACTGTATCTTTCTTAAATATATAGTTGGGCGCTACCTTTTGGCACATGGTATTTCTGACCCGTTGTCAGCCCCTGTTTATTTTTGTCACTGCCAGATTGATGGCGCACGGCCAGTTATATGTGGATATGTTCAATGGGTTCTTCCTTTGATCATGAGAGACCGACCTGGGTGCCAACAATTTAGACCCGTCTCTGTGTGCCAAACCTTGGTGATTGACTACACTCAAATATATGTATTGCGCTTGTGCGCAACACGCTAGGACACGGTGGGACACTTGTGCGTGACACTCTTGTGCAGCATTTTATTGGGTGGCTCTCTTGTAGATTGCCCTTGTGCAACGCTATTCTACATTGTTGCTTGTCACAATGTAGTCTTGCGCGTGTGCCTGCGCATCTTGAAGCGCGTTCCAGGTGCATCAGCTGTCTGAAGGGGAAATCGCAACAGTTGTGGAACAGGCTGGTCATTGCCTCAGTGCTGTGTAGAGTTGAAAAGGACAAGAGTGTCACGAGTGAGAACCAGTCTTTCGTGTGGTGGTGTTCTCTCCGGATCTTGCTGGAGAAAAGATCTTGTTGCCATTTCTTGATTTCCCGCGCCGCATATGCCCATACAAGACATGTTATCATTACCAAATAATACCAAATAGACAATAGATCGCAGGTGCTTGGCACAGTCAAACTTGGTGTCAAAAAAATGCTGGTGTTGTTAACGGCCCTGCAGTTTCAGGCGCACGCCGCACTGTGTCGGCGGTAGGATTTACCGGGAAAACCCACACCTGCGTGTTCCAATCACAGTGAAATGCAGTTTTGTCCCAGTTCCCACGTGTTTTTTCTTTGTAAAGACCTTTTCCCACGTGGACTTCGAGAGCTCGTGACAATCTAGCAAAACGCACTGGCGAACAATCTAGGTCTAAAAGTCTGTCCAGCGCATAACGCTCAAGAGGGCCTGCAGTTTTGGTCGCCAAACAATTCAACGAGTCCACGTGGTCAACTTTCTAAATAGAGGTGCCTTGACCAGCCACAACAGAGCCACCAAGCACTGAAAGAACTTGGTAAACTGTTGGCTCGCACATCCTCTGAAACCCAAGCAGCTAAAATGTCATGTTTCTTCTGTTGTCTAACCGCGCCAGAGCCTGACGCAAAAACAATAAATTGCACCCACGAATGACGCTGGCGCCTCAAAGTAGCTCAAAGATGAGACGGGCTCAGGTCGCCGTGTCCGCATTATCTCTCCCGTTGAGGGCTGGGTTTCCGTGGAGACGAAGGAGAGTGGACATCTATCATGGCTGTTTGGTAACCATCCATACTCTCACCGTTGTGTCAGCAGAATCAGGTCGAGTCAGTGATGGCGGCTGCGCAGGACGGAGTCACCATCATGAGGCCAACGACGCTTCAGCGCAGAGGCTACAAGCAGGAAGCCTTTGAGAGCCACTTCGAGAGCAAATTCGAACGTCTCAAGGTGGGGGCGCAGAACGCGCTTTCATCATTTTGCAATTTTGCAATGCAACGTTGTATCATTAAAGTAACCTTTTCTAGTGGTGTAGGCGCCGCCCAGATTTTCACAAATTGTTTAGCTTTATGATTTGTGAAAAGTGGTCGATTGAATGCAGGGGAGCTGTGAGACCATTCAGCTACAAACCACAGGCTAAGCAGCGGCAAGGTGGTGGCTATGAAGATGATCCGCGCAGGGATGCCTGGGCCTGGATTAATTCGAAGGCTTCGCGGGCGTTTGATTCCTTCAGTTCATGTGGTTGGATAATCCACTGTTTCGTGCAAACGCGTGCGATTTGGGTAGCCTACCCAGTCGGTGGATAGATAACCTTTACCTTATTTTGGGGTTGGTTTCTCCACCAATATGAACAGATGGAAAAAGGTTGGCCTCTTTTCAAGGAAACTGAGGAAGTGTGGCGTGTCAAAACCCGTCTTGGTTTCAAAGGCCGATTTCCAATCCGGTCCAATCAAGCTATGGCATTTCGGCGGGTGAGTGGTGCTACGACTACGACTACTACGACGACTGCTACTATACTACTACTACTACTGCTACTACTACTACGACGACGACGACTACTACTCCTACTCCTACTCCTACTCCTACTACTACTACTACTACTACTACTACTACTTATACTTACTACTTACTACTACTGCTACTACTACTACTACTACTACTACTCCTGCTACTACTACTACTACTACTACTACACTAAGCGGCCCCCCAAGTTGAAGAAGTTAGAAACTTCATCAACATAGGTTATAAGTAGGGATAACATATGTTATAACCTATGCTAAGTTCGATAAGTTCCTTGGAAGTTATAACACAAATCCGAGTAAGTTCAAAAACATGTGAAATTTATAACATAGTTGTTGAAGCTAGCAGAACTTTTAAACAAGTTACGGAAGTTAGTCTTTTTATGTTTGTTTTTGATGATGTGCAAATTCTGTGCAAAAAAAAGGACCGGATAACCCCACATGATAAGTTTTACAAATTTCAATTGTATATGAACATCACATGGGAGACGGAGTAGTGAGATGAAAAGTCAAGAACGAAGTGTGAGGAGAGAAGGTATATGAGGCGGTTGTGCTAAGACGTGTAGTATAAGTGATGATGTGATGGACGAGGATGAGAAGGAGGGGAGGGAGGAGGTGTGTGTGTGTGTGGGGTAAGATGGCGTGCGTGTGTGTGTGTGTGTGGGTGTGTGATAAAGTGTCTGATGATGTGATGAACAAGGATGAGAGGGACGAGAGAGAGAGAGAGAGAGAGAGAGAGAGAGAGAGAGAGAGGAGGCGGAGAGAGAAGTTTGGAGGCTCTGGATTTTGCGATCAGATCCGCGTGAGACCTTCACAGATGTTGGCCAGATCCGCATCAGATCCGCAAATGCACTCGGCATTTCACAGATGTTGAAAAGAAACATGTCATGAAAACATGTAAGTAAGTGAATCAAAACATGTCTGCTGCAACCACGTGAGTTTTTGTGATGACAACCATGGCCAGAGAACTTTCAAAACAAGATTCAGAACGGTCGTGCAGGCTAAACTAGAGAACTGCAAATCACAATGGCAGTAGCGCAGAGACAGGCTTCACCAACACCCTCGCCGCAGCATTTACAATGCGATTCGCAGGCATTGATTGCCCTGGCTGTGCAAATCACAATGGCAGTAGCGCACAAACACACTCTGCCAACTTCCGTGCCGCAGCCATTACAATGCGATTCCGAACCAGTGAGAACCCTTGCTGTGGAAATCACAATGGCAGTAGCGCACAGAGACATGTTGCAAACATCCGTGCCGCAGCCATTACAATGCGATTCCGAACGAGTGAGAACCCTTGCTGCGCAAATCACAATGGCAGTAGCGCACAATCACAATGGCAGCCCCTTCTGGAGGCTCTGGATACTGCGCCTGCCACGCGGAAGGCAGCCAGCGGCACCAGCGGCGACAACGCGCGCCACAGCCCCTTCTGGAGGCTCTGGATACTGCGCCTGCCACGAGGAAGACAGCCAGCGGCACCAGCGGCGACAACGCGCGCCACAGCCCCTTCTGGAGGCTCTGGGTACTGC